TGCTATTTTTATATATATTTTGTATATTTTGTCTAATAATGAAAACTTAGTAATCCATTTTTGTAAATACAGTAAGTTTTATTTTTATATGTGTAATAGGTTTTATATACCTTTTGTACTTTATGTAAAATAAGTAAACCAGCTTTGTAAATAAGTCTTTATTTTTATAATGTGTAATAGCTTTTATATATTTTTCTATTGATTGTAATGCAACACATTTTTCCTCCTCGTGCTATCGTTTTATACCGTATGTTTTTATAAATAAAAATAAATAAATAAAAGTCGTTGCATTGCTAATAAACAGAGCCGTACTATCTCCATACTGTCTTCTACCATATATATATATATAATACCATATATATAAATAGAGAAAATAGACTTTCTCTATGCTCCTACTATAATAGCGCCGCTATGGATGTTTGCGTACAGAACGTAAGGCCGCCGTGTATTTAATTCCGAGCTGTTTTACAAAATGGCAGCTCACTTGAAAAAGCGAGCTTATGTTGAATTTAGTGTATCAGTGATCCAGGTAAGTTTATTCTTATGTAATCACCTCCATGACAACTCGATATACTGTTGTGACAGTCACTTTTAAACGTTTAAATTCTGACCCTACCTTGCCTACCTAGTAGGGCCAGGCTAGGCCTAACTACGGCCTAGCTAGGGCTGCGGGCCTAGGCCTAGCCTAGCTAGCTACCTAGCTAGGCTAGGCATACCCCAGCCTACCCTATCCCAGGCTAGCTAGCACGCCCAATCTAGGGCCTAAGCTAGGCCTGCTAGGTAGGTAGGTTCCTAGGCAAGGCTACCATCGTAGGGCCAGGTAGGCTAAGCCCTAGGCCTAATCTTAATTTAAAGAATGCCAAGGCCTATCTACTGTAGTAGTAGTAGGCTATACGCTCTAACCATCGTCCCAGAGACTGGAAAGTATTTTTTAATTCCAGAGATCCCAAGTCTCCCGAAAATCGCGGGTTTCTCCCGATTTTTTAGGCCGTCTCCCGCCCTCCCGATTTTTATTAATATCTCCCGATTTTTATTAATATCTCCCGATTTTTAAAAATATCACGAAAAATGTGATTTCCACGATGTCATAGAGCAATGAAACAAACATCCTCATCTTAAGCCAATATACTATGGTGCTCGCTCAGCCATAAAATGTCATGAACAAGGCCAGGGAGTTGTTATTTAAGTTGTTTATCAAAATAACAACTAGGGCAAGGCAGGCATGGTAGAACCGCCTTGTTTATCCTCCATGTTACGATCTTTTGCATCCAGCGCCGACCTCATTCAATGAGATGGCTGTCAGTTGAGTAAATAAATTTCAACAAATTAACGAAATCAGAAATCACATGGGAAATGAATGGGGCCCCAAGTTTTCGCCGCGAAGATTCGGAACAGAGTCGGTGCATAAAAATACTTTTTCTTTCAAGTAAGCTTCAGTTCTTTAATAACAATACTAAAAAAATTATAGTTAATAGGTTTTGGTACTATTAGAGCAGTCTTCCGAAAAATGAAGTTTATTTTAATATCGATCCCAAAATACATGTAGGACTTAGGCCTATGGCCTAGGCTCTGTCTGCACTGCAGGGTATGTATGTGTGTTGTTTTGGGTGGGCGTCTGTGTGTAGTGGTGGTCGTGATTCTGCGGCCTCAGGCCTAGTTACGCACGTATAGATGGAGCCTAGCGAGGCAGGATTTAATGTTTTTTCATGGCATTATGTACCAGTTATTATAGGCTAGACATATATAAATGCTGACTTAAAACATGTATGATTTACTAACTAAATTAAAATATATATATATATTTTTTAATTTTTCAGCAAACATGTGAATCTTGCAAGTTGCAGTTACCTTGCTAGAATTCTATGTTCTTTGATGAGATGTAATAAATCAGCCATAGCCTCTAACATGCCAATGAACCAAGCAAGAACGTTTTACTAGCAAAATGCTAAATAAATAATAATATTTATAAATTTATATTTTAGGCCAACTGCAATGTGTAAACAAATGTAAAATTGTTAAATAAAAGTAAACAAATTGATGAAAATTGTTTTTTTTCTTCATTTTGTGTAATACTTTCATGTTGCACAGCGCGTTGTAAGGCGTCACAGTGCGTCGCTACAGGAGGCGATCGCTTCATGAAAAAAATCTCCCTATTTTTTGGTTTTCAAACTTGGGATCTCTGTAATTCAGCGGAGGATATTTAAAAAGTCAGCCCAAATTTGTATGGCAAATTATGTAGAGAACTTTATACACTTTTCAATTTACAAAAAGATTCCTAAACATGATTTTTCTTTTCATGAAATAAAAATCATCATCAATGGCAATGACGACAATTTTCTCATTTCCGTTTCTATGTACAGTACATACACATACATACACATAACAAGAGTAAATATAATTTTTTCCTTCAACAACAAGAGTAATACTATACAAATCACCTACATTATTAAATACCTTATTAAATTGTCCGTTAAGTTGACATTTACAAGAATATTAAGTAAAGTCTATTATAGTCCCTACTATAGAAAGTCACATTATTATGCTATTAAAACTGGCCTACGATGTATATGAAAAATGCACAAGTTAAAAAAAAAAATTCAGACCTAAGGAATACTGTACATTGAAACCCATCTTTCAGGCTGTTATTTGGCAAATAACGAAATAAACCTCGCAAGGCAAATTATGTAGAAAAAGCTAAAAAAAAAAATTCAGACCGCCACTCCCCTACCCCCCCCCCCCAGGGGGCACAGTTTTCAAATTGTCCAAAGAAATCCTTGCACAGTTTGTAAATTGTGTGCAAGTAATAGCTTGTGCATTTTGCAAATTGTGCAAACGTCTCAAATTGTGCACGACATTTATATATTAAGATTTGTCAGAGCCTAATTTTTGACAAAATTTGCGCGGAAATTGGCCATTATTTTCCAAAATGTGCAACAGACCAGACCGAGTTTTTGCACGGAAGATACAGTATATTCCCGGGCAGGCCTTACTATACGGTGTGGCCATCGTCTATGTGATCTTGATTAAAGATCTAGAATAAAACTAGTTGTAGAATAAAATTAAGTCTGTATTTTGTAAGCCTTGCATCTCTTCATTCTATTGACATTGTCTTCAGCTTGGTGATTTTATGTAATTTAGTTGTATTTTTATAGCGCCTTATACAATTGATAGGTCGTCCCCTCTGTCTCTATAATTTATACCTTAGAATTCTTTTAACTAGGATTCGTTTTCATTTCCTTTATAACTAATCACCATATTTACTGGCCAAAAAAAACCCCCCCAAAAAAACAACAATAACGTCTACCCAAACACTAACCATTTGAACTACAAAAATATGAATTCTATTTTATTTTTTATTATAACATGCTATAGCAAACAATAGCCACATTGAGTGTGACAAAATCAGCAAATATCAATGTTCAGGCTATTTACAGTATCTTGTCAAGGAATGGTTTTTTTTTTGAATGTGTGTTTTTATCTATGTCTTTTTTCCCACTTTGAGGAGGAAGCCCCAAAACCAAAGAAGCTTCGTTTGACAGTTCCTCCTGTTAGTGTTTCACCATCGCCAGTATTTGACCTCGGTGTAGCAGCTGGCCCTCAACAAGTACTTCAGCAACTTAAAAGTTTAACTGATAGTCTCCCTTTATCCAGCCAACATGTTAGTGAGTATCACAGTTTTGAGTAAACAAAAATGTGTTCCCGTAGGATTATTAATAATTTTAATAATACCCAATTCATACAAGGCAAAAATGTATACAGTATAGGTTGAATAGTTTATGGACTTCTCAATATACAGATTTATTTATTCATCAGTTTTAGAAGGGGGTTCAGTCAGTGGCGTATCGAGGAGTTGCATGGAGGGAACACTCGACCCAAAGAATACTCAGGCCTCCTAATGTCTCCCTCCAAAAATCATGGTCATGTAGTTAAAAATCACATCAAATAACCTTATATTGCGAGGTAGCACCTATTCTCATTTTTGCCTCATGCCATCTGGTCAACGTTACAAAACCCCATACGCATCTCATACAAGATCAAGAGCTTCATTCTTTCCGTCTGCCATCAAAGCTATAAATGCGTGGTTGGTATCCAGAAATTAAATGTTTGTCTCACTGTATAGTTGTTACTCCTGTTATTTAAATTATTTATATTGCGATACTATTTCATTGTATGTTTACATATACATTTGACAATAAATTTAATCTGTATCTATATCACTTAATCATCGATCCCCTCACCTAATAGGACCTCATTTCAAGATTCCTAAATACACTGGGTTCATTAATACTAATCAATCAAGAGCCTCCTAGTTCCGACCAAAATCTCCATTGTCTTCAGTGAATTCAAACTTGTTTAATGTTTTTAAATTAACATGCTTGTAAAGGTAAAGGTAGGAAAGTAAAGGTAGGAGAATAACCCATACAGTAACATGCAGTGTTGTTGTGCTGAATTGCCTATGGGCGTGGTCCGTGACTATTGTACCTAGCAGCCGTAAATAGGCGCTTCACGGTACTGTAGATACGTGTTCACATCACAACGACGGGCTGAAATTAACCATGGCATCAGGGTAACCCCTACTCTTTCGAAAAGTGCACAATCAGTGTATTTTGTATTTGAACCTACCAGCTACCCACTTGTACTCCTGGGTGGAGAGAGACAACCGTAGATAAAGTGCATTTCCCGAAAGACAAGCAGAGTGCACAGCGAGGGATTGAACTGACCTCAAGGTTGGGGAAAAAACTGCAACCGTAGTGATAAACAGCTCCAACCAAGCTTTTGTTGTATTTCAAATGTTGATTTAAAGATCAAATAATAAACCAATGGTATTTTTTTTACTTTTTCTGGTTTCCATTCAAGAATCAAGAATAATAAAGCCAGTACCTTTAAAGTACCTGTACTGACAAGATGCCTGTTTTTGCCACATTTTCAGGTCCAGTTGTGCATGCACTACTAGAGCGTCTATGTAAGGAAGAAGTTGCACACGTCAGGGTGCGCATCATTGCAGTGCTTGGCCTACTAGTGAGGGCACCAGACTGTAATAGAGCACTTGTTACTGATGATCTCACTCAAATGTTACAGAGGGAAAGTAAGTAGTCATACCTCCACTTTATTAAATTATTTTGTGTCTACTGACCTGATAATTACAGTAGATGTCGACCACCCACATGATCGGTCCCTTAAACGAACTCCAGAGTAAAAATTCTTAAAAATTGGCCAAGCAGCAGAGTGCCTTAGAGCCACTGACCCCTAAACTAAGGGTCAACTGGCAAATCTCCAATTTATTTAATTACTTTTCGGTCTCAGCTATGTGACTTTTTATGGAATATGCAATATTTTAGTTAAAAAATGAACACAACTCACATTAATTAAATATAAACATTGAAGAAACAACCTACTATTTACATAAGATTGTTAAAGTGAAAATCAACAGCATAAATAATTTTTGACATAAATAGTTATTCTATTGAATCTAAAGTATGAGTTGTCTCAATATATAAACCCTTGCAGATCTCATTCTTCCGCTCTGTTCAATAAAAGTAGGGACAAATACTGAGTGGAGATTATTTAAACCTCAGTATCAACAACCTGAAAAATTAACATTTAAAATCAGCAACTCTCAATATAAAAACCTAAAATGCATATACAGTATTGAGTACTAAAAATTAATTACTAAAAATATTAATTTTTAATTCAAATGTTATCAGTTAAAATAAGAAATTACCATATATATTTGAATAAATGTAGGGGTTGCATATGCATTGGAGGTGTTTATTTTTTCTTTTTTGGTGTAAATGTATAAGTCAAATAAATGCCTCTTAATTTTACTGTAAAATGTGGAACTACAACACATAATTACCATCAAATTATGTGTTATTGATCATAAAGACTTACTGATCCCAACTGGATTAAAAAAAATGAAATTCTACTGTAGTCAAACATTTATAGAATGTGTTGTGAATAATGTTGCTTCCATTAGGTTTGTTCACAGTCATTTTAGGGAGCGTTTATTCAAGGAAAAAAATTAATTCCTCAGGGCGTTTTTTTTTTTTGGGAAGGCTTTATTCTCAATGAGGCTCTAGAGGAGGCGTTCATTCAAAGTGGATTTCTCAAGTAGTACTGTGGTCTTGTTCACATTGACTTAGATGTTACCAAAGTTTTAGTCAGACCTTGGATAGTGGCTATTTTACACAGTGTACTGTATATTTATTTTGTGCCTATAATTTTTGTAGACTCCCATAAAGTGCGGGCTCAGCTGTTGGTCACAATGTACAGCATCTGTCAAGTAATGCCTCTTGCCATGGATTTACACCAGAAGCTTGTTATGCTAGCCTACAAGGTAACCAAACTAATTAGGATATAAATTATAATTATTATAAACCTCGCTGTTTACATTTTTAAAGTTTCAATTCCTCAGGCAATACTTCAGCTCACCTTTACTTTCTTCATTCCACCGGCCTCTAGCATAATCATATTCCATAATTTCATAATTTTATTTCACTCGAAACTGAAACGTAAAGAGTTTGGTAGGCAAACTGTGAGATCTTACGAAAAGTATCCAAGTGGCAGGGCTTACTGGAAAGGCCTGTTGTTGTATGTGTTCGATGGTCTTTTAAAAAATTCTGAAGTTGATGACAGAATGATGCTAATGGCAAAGATAATATTAATGTTAATGATGTCAAGAATGAGTGATGATGATGATGTTGAGGATGAAAATTATTGCTACTGATAATGATGATGTTGAGGATAAATTAAAAAGTACTCTTAGAAGGCCTAAAGTCCGTCTAAGAGCATCTAAACACACAATCAATATCATCCATTTTCTCCAAAACTTCAATATTGTAATTTCACCTCACCAATACTCAAGAAAAATTACTCCATTGGGAGACTATAGTTTTATGGTGTAGTGTAAAAGGAGTAATTGTTGAGTATACTGCACTCGCTCAAATATACTCTATGCTGTGGTAGTGACATTCCTCTGTAAAATGGAATGTGTTAAGGTTCATTTCAGTTCATGCTGTTGTATTTGTATTCACAGATGACCAATGACTGATAGCAACTTGTCCTATATTATGGACTGGCTATGTTTAGGGTAATTTTGACCCAGTTTATGCAGTATACTCATGCTCCTATTATGAGCCTCTTTTGTTATGTTGTTGGTGATGTTGATTAGGATGATAGTGAATGTTTTGTTGTCCAAGGTAATATTGACTTTGAGTTGATGATGTCATCTAGGATAATGTTAAGCTGTTGATGATCAACGAATATTTTTGTCATTTATGAACAAATTGTGATTTTATTTGTCAATTCTCAGCATCTATCGGACTCAGACCATGCTGTTCGACAACAGTGTTTATCCATAATCGGAAAACTAGGAGTGCAAGATAAACCCCTCAAAAGTGGGGAGAAATCAGAGACTCCATTGCAAGTGCTAACAGAATATGCAAAAGACCAAGACCCAAGGGTTAGAAGTAGTGCCTTTGAAGCTATGGTGAGTGAATATTAAAGATGTGTTTTGTTTTTTGTCTATTTTGTTTAGGTACCGGCAATTGTTTATCGGTTTTTTGTGTCTACTGCCCACTTGCAGGCAAAGCAGACACATTCCTATGACTTGTAAGAGTAAATCCAGTTGGATGAATGATTGGGGTACCTGCCATTGTTTTTAAATATTCAAAAATCCATATCTCATGATTTTTTTTTCAAACACTCTTTGTGTGTCTTAGAAAAATCATTTGTACATATCAACAGTTCTTTTCTTCTGGAGTCTATGGCTTTAATATATTAATAATAGTTTAAACAAAAAAATATGATCAGTAATACCAATTATTGCATAATCCATATTAAATACTCCTAATAAAAAAAAATGTTTTCAGTTATCTCTTCATCAAAAGGGTCAAGTATTGGAGCAATCCATTTACAAACAGGTATACACAGCTTTGCGTGATGACAGTGAAAGTGTTCGCCTGGCAGCTTTACGTCTCATGTGGGTCCTCAGTCACGTTTATCCTGAAAACTTGATCCCTTTGCCCGATTCCGAAGAGAAACTGCGACTTGTTGATGATGCCTTCGCCAAGATCTGCCAGTTGGTGACTGACTCAAGTGTTCAAGTACGTACCACTGCTGCAGGTTTGCTGGGTTCTCTCCATCTTGTTAGTGCACACTTCCTTGAGCAGACCCTGGACAAGAAGCTGATGTCAGGATTAAGGGTAAGCATAGGTTCCAAGTTTAGACAAATTTGATGCCATGAGACTTGAAAATTCTGCCCCATAGAGTGTTGTATGGTGCTCCATTCTCTACCACCACCATCCCCCGTGAAATTTAATTTTCTATTAAAATGCTCGAAATTGCATTTAGGATCTGCATTTTTTCTTTGAGAATAAATGCATTGCAGATTGTCCATTGCAGGGAGCAGCCATATCCATGTCCACACAAACCTTTTCACACTGGCATGAGCTGGCAGTGTGGATGTATCCTTTAATCTTATTCAACATCATATTCACTGTGTTAGTGCAGCTAGTCTGTATACAATATGATGTTACCATGATATTTAAGTACTGTTGGAGAATTTTTAGTAAGAAGTGGGCTCCAAAGGTCACAAATAGTATATTTTATAATATAGGAATTACATTTGTGTGTGAGAGTTTGGTCCTTCAGCATGAGAGCGTGAGACAAACCCCAAATGTGTGAGTCTCATGCCAAGTGTGTGAGACTTGGTAGGTCTGGGTAAGACATATCATTTTACTTTATGTATTCTCTACAAGTGATTGCAGTGAAATTTCATGTGGACAGCAGTTTAGGGCAGCAGTTTCCATTTAGGTTCTTGACCTCGTGCTCGGGAGTTTCAAACCACACGCTGACAATTTTTGGCCAGTCATGTACTTGTACTGTGGGTGGCTAAACTGTGTTTAGCGATTGGAATAATGTCAAAAGCAACCATTTTTCCTGTACTGTAAATTGTTAACTTTTAAGGTATAATTTGAAATATGTCTACTTTTTAAACAATTAGCATCAAATATAAATAACGTTGACAAGTAAACAGGGTTTAATTATGGCAAATTTTTTCTAGATACTATCAGACAATAACACCCTTGTTTATAAACTGTTGAATGTTTTAGTAAAATGAAAATGATCATTATAAAGGAACAATGTTATGGTGATTATGTAACTGATGAATAAGCATAATTCTTTTAGCGTAAACGTACAGCGCACGAACGCCAGAAGGAACAGTTTGTGTCTGGTGAATGGTCAAGTGGTAAGAAATGGGCTGACGATGCCCCCAAGGAGGAGCTTGACCCTGAAGGGGTGACCTTGATGGACACTGGCGCATGTGGAGCATTTGTTCATGGACTTGAAGATGAGTTTCTAGGTGGGTTCACAAAATTTAATTTCAGCAAAGAAGTATTTATGTAGTCTTCTGGTACTAGACTTGAAGAATGTTATCAGGCCATTGATATATTTTCTCTGCCACTGTACTTTGCTGTTACAGCTTCAATTCTATTTGAACTTAACGTTACAATATCAAAACATTAGTATTTACTTTATAATTATATTATTATTATTATAATACAGATCAACAAAGACAAAGCCTATGTATTTATTTTGTGTAATTTATATATAGATTATTTACTGCATAACATTAATACGTAACATTTTTTTTACTATCCAATAATAATAATTTATATAATACTGTATAAAAGAAATGAAGTTTGATATGAGCTAAGTTGACAAAGACTGAGTTGATGTAAGGGCCAAGTTGGTTATAGGCCGCATTGAGCAAGGGCCAAGTTGGTGAATGGATCGAGTTGAGCAAGGACTGAGTTTTATGTCCTGGGCTGAGTTGGTGTATGGGCTGATTATATCATTGGGTATGAAACGAGTTGGCAGAGGGCCAAGTTGGAATGGTTCGGCTTGGCTGGCATCAGTTTCTTCTTTGTTGTTGATTACCTCATTGCCATGTTTATATATGTTTGACAGAGGTGAGACATGCAGCATTAGACTCTTTGTGTGAGCTTGCCGGCCAATCACCAACATTTGCTGTGTTATCATTGGATTACCTCGTGGACATGTTGAATGATGAGATTGAAAGTGTTCGCCTGAATGCAGTACATAGTTTACACAAAATCAGCAAAGATATTGTTTTAAGAGAAGACCAGCTTGAGACTGTCCTTAATGGCCTTGAGGTTAGTTTATATATTTAATTATTTATAGCGCATACTGGATATCCATTTTAGAAGCATACAAAGTCTGTATGACCATTGTTGTAAATTGGTCTATACTTGTATACAGTTTGCCCTCCAATTTGAGACCACCCTTGGGACCTGAAAATTTGGGGTGATCTCGGGGTTTGTCTCCAATTAAATTAAAATCAAATATTAGCTTGTTTTGGAGTATGTGCTCCCTTTTTTTTCTCCTTTTCTTTTACTACCCTTTTTTTTCTCTTTATTTTTAAGGGGCCCTATTCCCCATTTCCCCTCCCCTTCGAATCCATCCCTTTTTATTTATATTCACATCCTGTCATACAGTTAGTATTTTGTACTCATGAGTGAAGAGGCATGGTGACAAGAGTCGGCCTTAAATTCACATTCTCTCTGTTAAAAGTCATAAGCATTTTGGACAATAAAATATTATACTGTAAGTACTTTATATTCTATTCCATTTTAAAATCATGACATGCAGACATACTTTCTAGTTTGTCAAACTTTGGAAATATATTTTTTAAAACTTTATTTTTTGTGTAGGACTCATCTACTGATATTAGGCAAGGCCTTCATCAGCTCTTATATTCTGTTAGTTTTGCCACCAAGATGTGTCTTCACTTGGCCCTTCAATTCCTACTTAAGAACCTTAATAAGTACCCTCAAGACAGATTGTCCATATGGAGGTAAGACAATTTTTTATTTTACCTGACAAATTTTAGATCAATTGTAGAGTATGACACTGACTCCTTAATTTCCAAGTAACAAATGGTAATAATAGTTTCAGGTCTCTAATAGTTACAGGTCACAACACTTAATGTAATTATATTTCTTTTATTAAACTACTTTAATGTATATTATCAACTGACATACTAAATTAAATTTTAATTGGTTCATTGGTAGATTGATGATTTAATTAATGATTGTTGCAGGTGTTATACAGTCAGGTGTTAATGATTTACAATTTAATGATTTTTACAGGTGTTCAAAGGCACTTGGTGAAAATCATTCTGACCTGACCTTGACCCTTGTGCCAGAGCTTCTAGGAACGCATCCGTACTTTGACATTCCTGAACCAGACATGGATGATCCTGGTTGTATCCTTCCTTGAAATAACTTGATGATTTGCTAAAAATTCAAAACTGTATAAACTGAGGGTATAAATACCTCCAGTTAAACTGGTTTCCTCAGTTTTTTTTTTTAAATTTCTATTTCTTCAAATACCTCTGCAATTTCCAGGCTCCAGAGGTGGAAAAATGTTGATATGTTGTACAACTGTTCTAAGACACAAAATGAGTGTTTGACGAAAAACATGGAAACGCTTAATGAGATACAGATTTTTGAACATTTAAAAACTAGGAGGAAAAAGGTGGTTACGTCCCCTCCCCCCTTTTTCCCCCACAGTGTTTAAATATTCAAAAATCTGTATCTCTTTAACTGTTCCCTAGATTTTTTCATCAAATGTACTTTTTGTGTCTTATAGAAAAATATTTTTGCTTTTGAGCCTGGCTTTAAGGAGTACTGAGATATTCATCAGCATTTTTCTTTTTGCCGCAAGTTGGCTGAGAGGACTTGTTTAATGAGCAGAATGTTTAAAAAGAGCAAAATGTGCCCTTGTAATATGTAAAAAATGCTGAAGTGAATGAGACTATCCGTACTGGGTTGAGCTACTTGGACCCAGCTCTTAGGGTAGTAGGGCCAAGGAAGTTTAGGTCAACATTTTATCTTACATTTTAAACATCCCTTAATTATCTCTGAAATTTCCTTAGCTTGCCTTCACTACAGATATTTGTGTGATGATTCTAATCTTCAATTCCGCTGTAACACAGCCCACAATGACTGCACTATTCCCTGAATACACAAGGAGACACTATGCATACCTGAGGGATAGTCTGCCACATCTTGTGCCAAATGTCAGGGTAGGAATTACTTTTATATGAAAGCCTTAAAGGC